CTATAACGGCGGTGGTTGCGTTCCTGGATAACACTGCGTCACGGAACAAAAAAATTACGTCATGATAAATAATCACATAATATATAGGGTAAAACACAGTCCGCGATGACCAGCGTTAATCGGGCTCAACTTCGCTTAGGCGGCAGCCTTAATAGGTGCTCGCTAACATCATTTTTGTTGGGGGGGGGAGGGTAGGACTTCCACATGTCGAGAGCGCGCAGTGCGAGGGCAGAGGCATGGCAATGGGGAGTTTGTGTGCGTGTGGGACACCACTCGTGACAGCAGGGAGTTAACCCTGCACTGTCCTAACGTTCCCCGCCAGCCGGAAGGTGCACTCAGGTCCCGTGCCACGCGCACCGACGACCTGCTCGTTATAGATTATTTGACCAGTGTGGGCGGCGGGAGTGGGGGAACTCAGAAGAGGTCAGGGCGAAAGTCTCGCTTGCAAGAGCAGGCTGGCTCGCCAAAACGGTGACCGGGTCGAGCGGCGTTGCCGCGACGGAGCGAAGAGAAATCGGAGCAAAAGCAACGGTGTCACGTGGGGGGGGGGGGGAGACATGAAAAGTACTCCGCAAACGGACGTCACTGTTAAATAATTACATTCCCTGCAGGGAAACAACGGTGACGAATATCTGAACCAGTCCTGGGCCTTCACTAGATTGACTCAGCCTTAGATGGGTACCTGGTGCGATGTATAAACATCAGCGCTGGGGAGACAAAGGCCACCCACCCCCTCGTGTGCCGTGCTGGCCTTCATAGGTTCTTGCCCAAACCGTCTCTTGAAGGCTATACGGGGGGGGGGGTGGGGGATCTTTGTCCACGTCTGTGTGGGTAGTAGAAAAAAGCTCATGGCTCATTAATTATGAAGATTAGAAGGTTTCCTTAAGAGCACTCTTATATGCGAAGGTGGCTTCTGTAAAACAAATGTTATTCTAATTCTGTGTTCAATAACCAACAGATGCAATGTCATTTAATTGCATTTTTTTTATCAATCTAAAACCCAGAGCAGTCTGGTCAAATATTTACCGTTATTGTCACTACTCAAGGGATGCTGTCACTGCGGTGTCACGGCTATGAGCACCCTGGATTTGCAATTCAGAGGGCATCGCTTCGATTCCATTGCTTCGGTCAGTCGATCGGTGAAGTGTGGGGGGACTCTCACCTGTCCGACGATATCTGGCGAGCAATGGAAGTGTAGGGCCCATTCATTAGCTCCACTATAAACGCAGATAAAGACACTGGTGAAAATGTAGTGTCGCGAGAACGAACGAGGCTTTGCTCGAGAACTGATGATGAGTATTCAATTGGGATGGAAGGATGCCACCCCACGGTTCGGTGAAGGGATTCTTATTTGTAAACATTGCAGCGCTTCTAACGGCCTTCGGATTGTTCACGTGAACCCATTCTGCACAACATACGCAGGTCTGCGAGCGTCGATGCCTTCCACGAGCACGTATCGTAACCCTTAAGCACCAACGTTGAAGAGATAAATCGATGCATCTTTAGACCACCCCCCCCGCCCCCGATTAAATAGCCCAAAACTTGACATTAGCTCAACCATTGCTCAGAAAGGGGCCTCGTCGAGCTGTTAGGTGGCAGGGGATTGGCCGATGGCGGGTTTCGCGCCGGCTTGTTTTTTAGGGCTCCTGCCGTGTGTTCAATGCAAAACGGGTCAGCGGCGAATCGCGGAGCAACAACAACAACAAAACTCCGGGCCTCGCTTTCGGCAGGCGGGCGGAGGGACGGGCGTTGCGCGCGGCATAATAACGCCGTGAATAATGCATCGACGCCAGCAGCACGCACAGCTGTTGGTGAGCGCCGCGTTACCGAACCGTTTTGGGCGGCGGCGGTGCGTGCGGTCACCGCCAGATATGCTCGGTGGCAAAAAAAAAATGTTCAGGCAAAGCCCCCAAAGTCCCTTTTCGAAAGTGCGAACCCCGTGCAAGTCAATTATATTGTCCGCATGCCAGCTGCCTACTGAACGTCATATTCATCAGCCATGATTGATCCACTGCTGGACGAAGGTCTCCCCACCTGCCCTCCACCGTTCAGCCTGCCCAAGTCGGTGTGCCCGTCTCGCACGATCCTGCCTCGCAATCATCCACCGAGAACCAGCGCACGGTTCCGCGCCCAACGTAGTGAACGTTTAATAAAAACGTGCAGCACAGCGAATGGAAACCGTAGGTGTGCTGTGGACTAACTGGTCCCCAGGCAGTCGTTACGTACGTACGTTGAACTTTATTCGTACCCGCATGTAGCCGACCGAGCTAATCGGAGGTGCGGGGGAAGGACAACAATGAGAGGTGCGGGTGAAGGAAGACACGGCGTGGGGAGGCCTTCATCCAGCAGTGGATTGACAAAGGGCTGTAATAATTATTACTACAGACCACACCCATTGAGTGAGAACTCACAATGTAACGGATCTAGTTTCAAATACCTAAATGGATATCTACCCCTTCATGCCTGTCCACCGAAAAAGTCACCCAAACTAAGGACACTCCTGAAAGAGAGCCTTGAGACTCGGCGAGACTTTATTGCCCGGTAATCGATTGGCATGGACTGCATTATCTCACCAAGGAGCATAAACCATCACGCGAACTCTGGTTCATTCTCGCAGCGCCTTCCGGCAGGTCATCGGACAAAGATGGTTACCGCATCGCGCGCTTTCCGATGCGCTTTCTGCGGTGGTCTGGGACGCTCTTTCTTCCGATATTAGGAAGCCACCGGAGCTATGCACTTTTAAATCATCTAGATTGAAAAATCATTTTCTTTAGTTCTGCTTTTTGTATTTAATTTTTTGTCCTTTGGTGCACCTGCAATTAGCACGGTTGGCTACGAAAGAACTTCAACATACGTACTTTAATAAAATAATTATTGTGCAGCAGTAACCATTTAAGACGCACCACTCACGGACTTCACGTGACTTTAGCTCGTTCATTATTAACAACTATATATCCAGGATATAATTTCGCACCGGGTCTGACCAGGTCATCAACCCAGGAACTATGTCGGACCCACACTGGCACACCACATCCTGTCAATACCACTGTGGCTACTCGTCAGCTTACATCTACTACAGGCTACCAGCGACCTAAAATATACTGAGTGAGAAATTAAGCCTTTGGTAATCATGTACATCTCATAAGTGTCCGTGTGTGGATGTACGTGTATACACGACCTTTATTTACCAGCGCACATGTGGACAGGGGGCCCGCAAACAGATCAGCGAACAATCTAGTATTTCACGATCTTGTGTAAAAATGGGATACATCAGGGTAATTCCAAGCTATGGCATTCTGCAGTTTCACTATCACCAGCGGCCATAAACAATCCACTGTTGGATGTCAGCCTTCCCCCAAGTGTGTATTAATCTATACATTATGCCAACTTACGTGGAATTTGATTTAGAATCTAGATTTGATTAAATAATTATTTTTGAAAACTCTGGTGTATGTGGACGCGGCCTCTCCCAGCTGGTAATAACGTCCTGGGTTATATGATTGGCAAAACATATTTACGTGTGACACGTAATTCGATAAGCGGTTTATGAGCTGGAAATTCGTTATCAATAGAGGCCCAGAAAACATGCCAACTTTGTGGCTGAAATGTTCCATGTTTACTTGGAAATTGGCATCAAGTGATGCATCCTTTGCACTCCTAACTGGAGTTAAACTCGCATCGCATGCGTATATCACCCGTGTCTCACTGGGAAGGGAGTTCACATTATTAATTTATGTCATCTTGGTTTAAACGGTTGATTAAATTCTCCACTTAGCAACAAGTCAGTATGTATATATTTTCATCTTAGTAAATAAAGACAAAATAATTGCAGAAAAGCCACCTGCGTGATGTTAATGTTGTTGTAACTGGCACGGGAAGCGAATTACTCGGTTCACCGATTATGGGGGGTGGGGCGGGGCAGTGGGTCGTATACAGTATTTGGATATCACGAGAATTAAAGCATTGTGGAACTTTTAATAAAAAGGTCATTATCAACCTGCTCAAGTCAGGGGTGGTGTCCATATGTGATGACCTATAAGGTGGGACATACCACATTCACATGGCGAGAACCGGTCATTAATTACGACGGCCACTTGGTAAAAATGATCAACAAGTGGTGTGTATTTATTTTATGGACCGTGATTGTGGGGGATGGCCACTCGGCAGCTGCACCACCACCCATATCTACAATCTCACGTTATCTTGTCACACTCGAGCCAGTGGGGGAACCCCACGATATGAAGGAATTAATTGGTCCATCTGTGCTTTACAACTGGATCCAATACAGTATGTATACTCAAATAGAACACCACCAGGACATCATTAATGACCACAGCGACGACCGGCATCTCACCACAACCGCCACACAACGAACATCACGACTGTCAGATCACACCACAAGCACCACACCATCTAGCCACAATCACCACCACCATCTTGCCACAATCACCACCACCATCTAACCACAATCATCACCATCTAGCCACAATCACCACCACCATCTAGCCACAATCACCACCATCTAGCCACAATCACCACTATCTAGCCACAATCACCACCACCATCTTGCCACAATCACCACCACCATCTAGCCACAATCACCACCACCATCTAGCCACAATCACCACCACCATCTAGCCACAATCACCACCACCATCTAGCCACAACCACCACCAGCTAGCCACAACCACCACCAGCTAGCCACAACCTAGCCACAACCACCACCTAGCCACAACCACCACCATCTAGCCACAACCACCACCATCTAACCACAATCATCACCATCGAGCCACAATCATCACCATCGAGCCACAATCACCACCACTATCTTGCCACAATCACCACCACCATCTTGCCACAATCACCGCCATCACATCACAACTACCACTCCCATCACATCCCACCACTGTGACCACCATTATCAACAACCGCCAACCAACAATATCACAACACACCAGAACAACCACCACCAGGGCCACACCACCACGACCACGACGTACCTTTCCAATGCTGCTCCCGCCGCTACTGCTTGTGTCCGAAATCCTATCCTGAACCGGGGTCTTGCCACCTCCACGCGCGGCATCTTGGGCCCCATTCTGACCTTTCCCATTGGCCGTGGACCGGCCACGACCCCCATCGACCTCCTCCTCCTCCGCAGCGCCGCCGCCGCCACCGCCGCCGCCCTCCTCTCGCTCGACGGCCGTGGCCGCCGGAGGAGCAGCCGACGACGCTACGATCCCCGTGCGCGCGAACTCCTCCACGCAGCGCAGCCCAAGTTGCCGGAGCCTCTCGTCCGTCTCCCTGTCCACGACCAGCAGCCGCGTCTCGACGGCCACCGACTTGATGAGAGACACCACCGTCTGGTGCGACTCGCCCTCCACGTTGAGGCCGTTCACCTCGATCAGGCGGTCGCCCGCCCTGAGCCCCGCCACCTCGGCGGCGGAGTCCTCCTCGACGCGGCGGATGAACTGGCCCGGCTTGCCCTTCTCGCCGTGCAGGTGGAAGCCGTAGCCGTTGTCCTTGCGGACGATGTGGCACAGCCTGGGACGGAGCTGGTGGTCCTTCCCCGTCATCGCCGCTTGCTCGGATGTCGCCTGACTACGGGGTTGACGTTGCGTGCTCGGCTCTTTAAGACGTGATCGCCCCCCCCCCCTCTCTCTCCACAAACAGTCTCCCCCGTTGATCCTCGATCTCTACAATGCTGTGTGGGATTGGGCAAGGTGTCCGTCTATCTCTCTGCTGCTGCTGCTGCGGCACGCGCGTGTGTGTGGCCGTGTGTCTTTGTCCCCCACTGGTGTTGTTAATAGGTGCTCGCGAACTCTGTGCCCGGCGCTCGTCCCTCCCGCGATGTTGCCGTTCAACGCCACGTCAAAGAGGTTAGTTACCTTGTCCCACGAAACTTCAGTTACAACGCACCAGACGCGCGGTCGGCGTGCGCTGCGCTAAATGATCACGAGCGGCCGATGGCTTTTATCAGCTGCTGCCGTCGTCGAAGCGGAGCGAGGATGGTGGAGGAGAAGAGCTTGGTGATGCCGAAGAAGCGACGCCTACAGAGCCGACATCGTCCGTCACCGCCGCTCAAACTCGCTCACGACTTCAGCAAGCCAGCCACGTTGACCGCGAGCTCCTCTGACTGTCACACATCGACCACGTGAACGCGGACACTGGCGCGCGGCAGGAGTGTGCCTGCTGGACTGGAGGTCACAGACAAAGAGAAGCAAAGGTAGGAAGGAGGAGGATGGTGGTGATGATGATGCGCTTCCTCGAGTTTCTCAGCAGAGATGAACCGGCGCGTTCCTTGTGAAGGACGAGACGCATCGAGAGAGGGCCCTCCCGGTTAACATCAGATCTCTCGTCCCCTCCTGTTGCTCTCTCCCCCTCCGTGTGTGCTCGCCTGTTGCTGATGTTGTGTGCGGAGCAGACCAGCTGTGGGGGTGGGAGGAAGCGGTGACGTCGGCGCTCGCTGATTTACATCGCGACAGCCTCCCTCCTCCTCCCCCATCATCATCCTCCTCCTCCTGCTCTGGCGTGGAGCTTTCGTGAAGGATGACGCGCGTACGCGTGGAGGGAGACTCGAGGGGACAGGGGGGGGGGGAGAGACAAAGACGGGGGGGGAGAGACAAAGGCGGGGGGGGAGAGACAAAGGCGGGGGGGAGAGACAAAGGCGGCCGCGGTTCGTTGTGCCGGGAGCGGAGTGGTTAGCGAGGCTCCTCTAACAAAGTTCGCCGAGCCACCCGAGTTCGATTCGCCGCTCGCGTCCGACACCGGTGAATGATTTGATCTGAACTCCCCTAGCTCGACTTCGCCTCGAATGAGCGTCTGGTGCGGTGTGGTGAGACAAAGGCGGGCGGGCGGGTGTGGTGCTGGCTACCCACCCCGTCCGTGTGCCTTCGGAGGTGCTGCTGGCGAAAAGCACTTGTCCCAAGAGTCTGCTCAGGCTACACGGGGCAGCTTTGTCTTAGTACCTACCCGTGTGTCAATTGCGTACAACCAAGGCAGTTGTCAATCCGCTGCTGGATAAAAGCCACTCTCTGACCCTCGCGGAACGAGGACGTGTTGGCATCGGTTATAGTCGTGATGAGTAAAGTGTGCCTTCTTAGTCAAAGCTTCACTTGCCCCGAAATTCATCTCAGGCTACACGGGGGATCTTATATGGGGGAATCTTTGTCTTTGATGTCGAGTGTATGATGTGTGCGTATGGGTTGGTGTATCACACACATATTGTGAGCATCGAGGTACCATAAACCCAGACTGGCCATAAGAAAGTGATAAAGCAAATGTGGACTATTTTCCATCTGTTCCATCTGTATGGGATAGTGTTACGGTTTTTTCCCACATTTAAAAATAATCATTAATTGGTTGATTATGCCTTTATATATAAAGAGGACTTCAGAGCTTGGGGTGGAATTCTTCTGCTGCCTTCCCCACTGTCGTTCTCTTTGAAAGTGAAGCAAAAACTGTGTTGGTTACAAATTAAATATATGATTGTGTGTTTGATATTGTGTGTCTGTGTGTGTTTTAGTGTGCGCGAGAGAGAAAGTGTTTCTTTCAAAGTGTGATTGCGTTCGTGTGTGAATTTGTGTGTGTGGTTATATATATTTTTTTAATATTAGGCGGTCGCCCTCCAGCAACAACAGAGGGCGCACAACAACGAGCGGAGCGCTGGGTGGCTAAATCACAGCAAGTTGGCAAAGTAGGGGGCACAGGTGGTGCATCAGCCAGTCATCTCAGTCATCCCAGTCAGTCGACCCGTGGCACCTGGGTCTGTCCCGTGACCTCCTGCACTCGACACTTCACGTGACATTAACGTGCACATAGCCTGGCACAAGCGCCTTGGTGACGTTAGCGCCACTTAGTGACGAAAGGCGGTTGTTGTGGGGATTATGCGTTTCAGTGTGTGTTGAGTGTGAGTTTGCATGCAAAATCAGTGTTTGTGTTTAAGATGAAGTAATTCAGCGTGTGTTAAAGTTTGCGTGTGAAAGTATAGTTCAGTGATTGTGCATGTCGTTGGTTTTTTTTTTACACCTAAACCATATCTAACTGGCTGTGCGTGTGCTGACACAATTTAGCGCTAGGTGTGCAGTAAGTGTGTAAATATGAGTTTGTTTATATGGGTGTGTGGGCTATATCTATATCTGGTTGGACCGGATTACTTAGCCTATAACTGGCTGGCTTTCTGTTGTGTCACACAAGCGTGTGACTGAGTGTGGCCACCCCCCACCATTACGGCCACACCACGATGGCATGGCCTGGTTGGAGCGGGCGTGCCGCTTGTTGCAGATTCACAGTTCCAATCCAGTGGCCAACCCCGGTTAATACTGCGGGTGCATCGACCGTAATTATGTACGCGCAGTCTTGCTTCAAGGTGAACGGTCAAGATCCCTTGACGTAGTGCGCAAATTTGCCAAATTTGAAAGTTATATCCGTAAAATTACTGAATTGGGATTAGAGACATAGCAATCATCGCCGCCGCCTACTGACAGCCCCCAGGTGACTTTTGCACAAGAAACTATTCTGGTCTATTGAGATCTCACCTGGGGTAAACACGAACAAAAACCAGTGATGAGACTGGAAGGAGCGGTTCTTTAAAATGTGAAGCAAGGTGCTTAGACCGGAAGCCAGATTGTGATGATTATTATGACGAAACTGCACAAGTGATCTTTAGAGATCGGATCTCGAACTGTGCAACGTCTATGGAGTCCCGCCAGTACGAGCAGGTCCACACTTTACTTTATAATTATTTGACAGAAACACTGTATGCTATATATTGTTATGCACAACATGTGACAAGATTGACACCATACACATTCTTTACAAGAAATGGTAATTCGCATTTTAAGTCACTAGGAACATCCACTATTGTGGAAGTTACGCATGATGGCACAACGGACTGTATAAGAATGTCCAAAAAACACGTCCTAAACAATAGGAATGTATAAACAACAGACGTTGGCAACGCTGCAGCTGCTTCGAGTTTCACTTTGACAGAGACAAATGCACACACTGGCAAATCCGCAGGAAGTGCTGGGAAAGTGAGATTGTTAAACCTTCACAGTGGGCCTTGTTGCTGAATTTTCTTGGGCACTATCATCAAAACGGCACAGCCGTTGAACACCGGTTCCAGCTGCGGTCCGGTGTTGACGGAGCGGTGGTGCAACACCCGAGTTCGATTCCCGCTCACGGCCCACAAACACCAGTGACGATTATCTTAACCGGTACTGGGCCTTCCCTAGGTCGACTCAGCCTCGAACAAGTACCTGGTGCGGTGTATAAATATCGTCATTTGGGAGACAAAGGCGTCCGGGTGTGGTGCTTGCAACGCATCCCCATCGTGTGCCGTGTCGGCCTTAATTGGTGCTCGCTAACAGCACTTTCCTCTAAAGTCTGTAAAGGCTATACGGGGGATATTTTTTCGTGTGCACGTGTCTTTGTGCTACAATCCTGGCGATCTGTTGTGATACTTTGCCATAATTAAAGACATCTAAGTGCTATCTGAACTTGACCTGAAACCTTTCTTAGGTCAAATGAGCCTGTAATAATACTTGGTACGGTGCGTAAACATTGGCACACGGGCGACAAATGGTCACATCATACCCACATTAATAGGTGCTCGCTAACAGCACTTGTACGAATGTTCAGTGGCAAATTATATCCGAACTTAATTTATCGTGTAATGTAAACATCATAACGTAGGAGACAAATGTGTCAGGGCGCGCTTGCCACGTGGTGAGTGGACATAATAGGGGGCCGTCCATAAATGACGTCACGCGATTTTTGACAATTTTTGACCCCTCCCCCTTCGTCACACGGCGTCACAAAAAGTCAGACCCCCCCCCCTCAAATATGATGTCACAAAGCTCTGCCCCCCCCAAAAAAAATATATAAAACTTGCTTCAAATCGTTTTAAACTATTGTCATTGTAGTGCGTATTTAATGTGGTGCTGCACTCTGATGTTGTAGGATAAAACATTTATTTAAAAGTATATTTAATTAAACCGCCACTTTGTTCAAATTGTCTTGCTGTGGTTTTCACGCCTGATGATGATTGCTTGTGTTGCAGTCGAAACGTCGTGAGAATTTTATTTTTTATATTTTATTATTTTATTGTTTCCCTTCTACGTGACTTTACCGAAAGAACCAAGAAGATGAATCCCTGCAGTCACGAAAGCTTTAAGTCAAAATTTAGAACGTGTTGTCTATATTTTTTTAAAATTGCGCATTTTTATGTGACGTCACATTTCTCACCCCCCCCCCCCCCCCATCGTCACACATCGTCACAAATGTCTGACCCCCCCCCCCTCCTAGGTGCATGACGTCATTTATGGACGGCCCCTAGGTGCTGGCAAACAGATGCGCTGTAATGTACCATTTACAATCGAAATGTGAAACGGAGGAGCTATAATCGGAATGTTGATGCCACGGCTTTGATATTTAGTGAACACGAACAATGCCATGAACTGTACTCGTTAATATAATGCAAGGTAGCCAGATGGCAGTACAGCAATGGATTATTGAATCTATCCGTATGGCGCTTTGGATAATTATCCCTTCATATACGAGGGTTTTCTCAGCATACTCTGGTTTCCCTACCGCAAGCCCAACTTTCATATGGAATGCCAAGTATGACAATTGAGGACCCTCCTAAAATTAGTTTTGAGACTGAATGAGGCTTTCCTGTTGTTTTTCTACATGTAAGACACATTGCTTTCATTTACTCAGGAAAGCCTTACTGAGTCTCTCGTCCTATATTTAAGACGGTCTTGGCATTGGGAAGTTTTGACTATTCGCGAAGTGCCTGGAGAAAACGAACTGAAAGAATGAACACACTCTAAATTATATATAAAGACAAATACCCCCCCGGGTATAGTCAAGTGCTGTTAGCACCACGCCCGACTGTCGTTATATCCCTAGTGGCGATGTTTACACATCGCAACAGGTACTCATTTGAGGCTGAGTTGACCTAGGAAAGGCCTAAGACCGCTTTAGATAATAATCGTCACTGGTGTTGGCCGTGAGCGGGAATCGAACCCAGGTAGCCGGGTTTGTAGCACATCGCGCAAACTACTGTACTACCGCTCCCCACACACACACATTTTAAAGTGCTTTGCTGGTGGATTGTGGATCATAATAGCAATATTTATAACTATTTAATTAATACACACGCAAGAAGAATCCTCCCACCACTAAAATAATACGCAGTAATTTCTAGGTCCACCAGCTTATGAGCCCTTCCTTGTCCAGTCTTTTCCAAGCAGACCACGCTCTCCTGATGAGACTCAGAGAAGAACAACCCCATTCGAAGAGTTTCTTTCCTTTGCTTAAAATATATGCTTCGAGGAACATTGGTCCAGATGTTCAGTGAGCACGTGGTCCCGAAATGCCACTCCTGTTTTGTTTTATTCGCTGCATGTTACACACTCTCGATCATTTGGACATTGATAGAGAGAGAGAGCACGCAACTCCCCCTAAGACAAGGCTGTGATGAACGACCCCATTGGTATCATCACGCCTCTGCTTGCCAACCTGAATGTCCCTGATGGAAACTCTCACACACGTGCTGGGCCTTCCTCCAAGCTGAGTGGTTTGTACATTGCTAAATTAACGAGTGCTTTCAAAACCAGACTTCACTTTGGCATGGGATGTGGATCAAGGATTTTACGCATTCATTCTGCCAGCCAACATTGGCCTAGAAACCAAGTGAATCTAGTATGGAGAAACACAACAAACGCAAACACCATCAATGCATACAATACACAAACAACACACACATCGCATGCATGTAACATACATTGCACAAGACATACACTGCATACATACGGCACACTAAACAATGCTATGTTTATACAACATGCATGCATGTAATACACACACTTCACAATATATTCACGTATGCATACACAACGTGCCTACCTATATACGATACGCTGGACAACACGTGCACAAAAATAGATCTATGTAATACACACACTACGCAAAAATGCACACACCATGTATGAAGAGTATAACACAATATGCCTTCACCATGCATACATAGACGGCACACAATGCAGACACAACATTTGCACATACAACACACGCAACGTACTACGCATGACACAACATTTATACGTAAACAAAAAATGCATTATACAATACATAACACTGCCCCGTAAAGTATTGCAAGTTTGATCCACGTTCACCCAATGTTGACACGCTTACTGGGTACCGAAACAATACATACACAGACACGTGGCTGCTTTGTGCTGTAACGTCACAATGTGTGGCTCGCACAAACCAGAAGCACACGCATCTCAAGCGCTGTCTTCTGGACAGTCCTGTTTCTTCACCTGAGGACGGCTACTTGTGTTGTGGCCGAAACGTCTCGTGAGAATTTTATTGTTTTATTTTATTATTTTATTCTCATTCTACGTGACTTTACCGAAAGAACCAAAGAAGATGAACACACGCAAAGGGTTAGACCGCCACCTTGTGATCCGTGCTGGCATGTGTCGGCATATTGTATGAATATTTTATTTTGATTTTCAATATTTGATGGCGCGTGCCTGCCTCATTTTTCATCGCGTGGCCTTGGACAAAAAGTCAATGCCAATACTGAACTAGGACCGTAACTGTGTTTTTGTCTTTACCATTTTTTTACTTAGAAGTATTTTGAGCCATTGTTATAACGTTTGTTTTACGTGTGTTTGTATTTAACGCATTGCAAGTATGTAAACCAGAACTTGTATAATACAGTGGTGCACAATAACAGCCAGGTACAGAGAACTTTGACGGGAAATACTGAACAGTTACATTGCAGTTATGAGCTTAGGATTAGAGGGTTAGCGTTTAGGATTAGGGTTGAGGTATTGGGGGGGGGGGGGGGGGGGGGGTTGGATTCGGGGACAGAGTTAGGGGGATAAGGGTTATAGATAGTTTAGTGCCTGAGACCGACCACGGAGAGTGACATCTCAACCAGACCTGGTGAAGTAGTTACTATTTTTTTTAACAGGTAAGGCCCACTGACATGCAATGTAGCTCTTTTTCAGAAGCAACCTGGCCACAAGTGATAACCCAACGAAGTGGCTTGTCACGTGGAAAATTATAGCAGCCAAATATTGTAAACGCGTGGTGTTGTTGATTCTAAATGTGAAGAGGGGGGTGGGACAAACCGGAGGAGCCGGAAAAAAATCCACGCGACCACGGGGAAAGAGACACGGGATCGAACCCACGACCTCCTGTATACCTGGCGAGGTAGTCAACATCTCCTAGCCACCGCGGCGTGATCAAACAACCCCGTTGACCGACGTGCGGATTTTGGGAAACGTGTCATCCAGCAGTAGATTGAAACAACAGCTCCGCAGTAATATCGTTGCTGTATAGTATGTGGACTAGTTTTAATCCTCTTCTCCCTCGCCTACCACTCTCCGTCTCTTCTCCCAATCTTCCCTCTCGACTCACACCCTCCACCTCTCTCCTCCTGGACATCTGGCGAGAAAGAGCTTTATAGCTCATCGGATTCCTTCGTTATGCATATTATGATCCTTCCGTTCCTCTCGCTCATCCAATCCTTCCTCCTCCGTCCCCAACTAATCTCCCTCCCTCTCCAACCCACATCTCTAACCTCACTCCGCAACGTTCATGTGTAACCCCTAAACTTCATCCGCACAAAGCATGGCAGATGGGGATACCTGATGAACACATTTTTAATTCACAACAATTAACCACTCTCCCGCCGTGTGTGGCGACTGTTGGTCATCCAGAACAGAATCATGTAAACGCATAAACAGCGACTCAATGCCCCATTGAACGAAAATGAATGAGGAGCTCATCAGCCACTTCGATTGAACCTTCGTTAGTTGCTGCTCGAGATCAACATCGCCTCCCTCGCTCTCACTAACTCCTCGATCCTCCGTCACCCACTCATCTCCCTCCCTCCCTCTCGTCTCCGCATCCTTCCTCAGCTCCATTCGCCCCTCTCTCCTCCTCCTCTCCCTCCCTTGCACTGTACCACCCTCCCTCTCTCCTACCCACTCTCCCCCTCTCTCTTTCCATCGTCCCTCTCCTCTCTTTAGCCACATCCCTCTCAACCCAGCTCCTCTATTTCATTCTCCTCCCTTCCCCACTCTCCTCCCCTCTCACCCTCCTCCACTCTCCTCACCACCTCCACTCCTCTCACCACCTCCACTCCTCCCCTCTCACCCTCCTCCACTCTCCTCCCTCTCATCCACCTCCACTCCCCTCTCACCACCTCCACTCCTCCCTCTCACCACCTCCACTCCCCTCACCCACCTCCACTCCTCCCTCTCACCACCTCCTCCCCTCTCACCACCTCCTCCCCTCTCACCACCTCCACTCCTCCCTCTCACCACCTCCACTCCTCCCTCTCACCACCTCCACTCCTCTCACCACCTCCACTCCCCTCACCACCTCCACTCCTCTCACCACCTCCACTCCTCCCTCTCACCACCTCCACTCCCCTCACCCACCTCCACTCCTCCCTCTCACCACCTCCTCCCCTCTCACCACCTCCACTCTCCTCACCACCTCTTCTCCTCTCACCACCTCCTTCCTCTCACCACCTCCACTCCTCTCATCACCTCCACTCTCCTCACCACCTCCACTCCTTCCTCTCACCACCTCCACTCTCCTCACCACCTCCACTCTCCTCACCACCTCCACTCCTCCCTCTCACCACCTCCCCTCTCACCACCTCCACTCTCCTCACCCACCTCATCTCCCCGCCCTCTCACCCTCTCACCACCTCCACTCCTCTCACCCACCTCATCGCCCCGCCCTCTCCCCCATGTCTCCTCCCCCCGTGGCTCTCTCCTTGCTCGCCGTTGCCGCCCTCCGCCTCTGCATTGGCGGAGTCCCCGCAGGGAGAGAGGCGCCCAAGGGGAGGAGACTCGGAGCGGTTGCGAGACGATTTGCGTGCCAGCATTCTTCATTCTTGAGTCACTTTTGGTGCGGGTGGAATTTTTGGTTCTCTCATTCGCCTCCCTCTCTCGCGTGCCGGTTGCGTTTGGAGTCATAATTTCACGGCAGTCGCAGCTTGCGCGCGCTAATCTTTTAGAATGTGCACGTTTCGTCGGATGCGCTGGTAACATTTTCATCGCCATCATCATCATCGTCGTCATCTTCTATCGGCCGACAGTGAAGAGCATCATCATCAGCATCGTCATCTTTACAGGTGAGTTTTTATCCCACCCCAGCGTGCCACCGAGATCGCGTTAACGAAATGAATTCCGCTTTGTCGGCTTCATAACACCACCACCAACAACAACATCATACATCCACAGTTTAACATCACATGAAGCCCATCATCACCACCACCACCTTCCACGATCAGCATCACCGCGCGTGTAATGTAGTGCGTGTACACAATAAACACAATATTGTACAAAAGTCTTTAAGTGCCGCCACGCTGTGTCTACATTGTCCTATGGGGCTGTCGTTGAGCAGGACGGAGATTCGCGACCGTCAAGTTCGAGTTACGGATAGTCCCCGAGTTACGACGGTCCGACTTACGAGATTTCGATCTTACGATGGCGATAGCGACACGACAAAATTGTAAAATAATTTTAAATTTCGCAGGGCAGGCAAACGCAGCAGCGAACGATACGTTCAATGCATGTATGATACGTAGCTTTAGCGATTTCATTTTAGGGTTGCCACGATACGATACGTTCAATGCATGTTAAAAGTTTTGATACGTTAGATAGGATTGTTTTCTGAAACAAAAACTTTCTATAGGTAGCGCTAAGAATTTACCTTGGTTTTTTTTACTTTACATTTTACTGTGCAATACAGTGTTGTAATTAATAAATACATACAGTTTGAGAAATTTTCAAAACAACACCGCGGCTTGTGGAAGACGGCAAAGCTCCCCACGCCGCCTAACGCGACCGCTACGAAGTGGCGGTGACGCGTGCCAGGCTAGGTGCACCTTGAGACCACGTGAACTGTTGTCGTAGGCTTTTGCTGCTGCCAAGTCACGGCACAGACCCAGGTGCAATGGGTTGGCTGTGCCAGGCTAGGTGCAGGAGGTGGTCACGTGACAGACCCAGGTGCTACGGGTTGACTGTGCCAGGCTAGGTGCAGGAGGTGGTCACGTGACAGACCCAGGTGCTACGGGTTGACTGTGCCAGGCTAGGTGCAGGAGGTGGTCACGTGACAGACCCAGGTGCTCCGGGTTGACTGTGCCAGGCTAGGTGCAGGAGGTGGTCACGTGACAGACCCAGGTGCTACGGGTTGACTGTGCCAGGCTAGGTGCAGGAGGTGGTCACGTGACAGACCCAGATGCTACGGGTTGACTGCCAGGCTAGGTGCAGGAGGTGGTCACGTGACAGACCCAGGTGCTCCGGGTTGACTGTGCCAGGCTAGGTGCAGGAGGTGGTCACGTGACAGACCCAGGTGCTCCGGGTTGACTGTGCCAGGCTAGGTGCAGGAGGTGGTCACGTGGCAGACCCAGGTGCTACGGGTTGACCGACTCAAATGCCTCCCAGCCGTGCTCCCCCACTGTGCCACCCTCGCTGCGTTTTATGCGCCCCGGCGCTCCGCTCGTTGTTGTGAGCGTGGCTCCTCCGCCGTTCTGCTTTTGCCGAAGAGCGGATATACAACAGTTCAGTGTTACATTAAACGTGCAGTCTATGAACTGTTAATCAGTGCACAATGTGCGCGTGAGCTCAGAATTAAGACTGTGGATAATATTGTGTTAAACTAAGCTCGCATCAAGACTGCACGCCTCATGCACTGTATACAGTACACGCGTGTACTGTAGATGACACGTGCAATAAGTAATCTACAGTATATATTCGGTACAGTGCATGTTTTTTTTCAGCCTGGCACGTATTGCAGTACTGTAGAGTGCTACCCGACACTCGTACAGTACAGTTCTGCATACTGCATCGTACCAGTCGACTTTGCTGTATGCACAGTACGTACAGTGTGTACAGTACATACAGTGAGTACAGTGTGTGCAGTACGTACTCGAGACTGGAGCCCCCTGTGGATCTGTGGCCAGAAAGTCTTGGTGTACAGTGCTTACTGATCTTAACTCTAACTCGTAAGTCTGTCCCTAACAACTAAGTCTGAACTCTTACCCCCTCCCTATCCCTCCCTAACTCTTCTAAGCCTTAATTCTAACCCTATCCCGAACTTGATGCCAACACTTAACTGTAACCTATATCCATAACTCTAAACCACCACCCTGAAACTATTACCCCAAATCCTTGATTTGTAACCCCTAAGCCTCAACTACAACTCCTAACTCTTAAATACTCGAACCTCTAATCCTTAACCCCGGAAATCCCAACACGAACCGCTAAACAAATTATCTAAACTCAGCCCTAAACCCTAACCCCAAAGCAGATAAACCCAAACTCTATCCTGTCAACTCTAAACCCTCACATAAAACCCCATAGACCCAAAACCTTCACCTTCAAATCTACACCCTTAAACCTACAACGAAAACTATAAGGTGTGGCTTCTCAATATCAAGTTCAACCACGAAAAAACCCCAGCAGGAAGGGCTGCATGAATGAATATCTGGTCTTTGATGGGATACACATTTTCAGGTACCAAAGTCGCTATAATATTATGTATACGCAAACAGGTAAGTACATCTTCATATACTACATCTGTCCGTTCAAATTAAAATTAAGGTACACTTTACACATCTGATCAGCCACACGGCATTCTGGGAGTGCTAATTTCAGCAGCATCGCTTAAGCAAGAAAGAACTCGACCGATTTCGACATTAATTGTTTCATCAGCAGTTGAGGCTTACTTGAACCCTTGCTAGATGTGTATAGTTAAGGGTCCTTTATTTAAGATATGGGTCATTATTAACGCAAACTCATAATACATCAACTGATGAGACACTGACATTCGCTTGGCTTGAAACAATGCTGCTGAAAATATTCACTACCAGAAGGAGGTGTGAACATTTATTTTATTTTCACGTGGAGACATTTTATGATTAGTTCGATTCGTCATGCAGGTTGTTGACCATAACTTCACCACGCTGGTCAGCGGGGGTTGGTGAAAGAGTTTAAGGGTCAAGGGTCGAGTGGGTTTGTTATTAAATCCATTTACGATTTTTGTTTTACCACGTAAGGCCAACAGCTATATAGCTTTTTTCGGAAACGGCTTGGCCACAAATGATAACTCGACGAAGGGGCTTGTCATGTCGAAATTTAGAGCGGCTAAATATTGTAAAAGCGTGTTGATTCTAAAGATGGAGGGTAAAAACAGTAGCACCCGGAGAAACATCCATGCGACCACAGGGAAAGAGGCATGCAAACTACAAATATACAGCACCCACGACCTCCTGTATACCAGGCGAGGTAGTTAACATCTCCTAGCCACCGTGATGATGATGAGAGAGAGAGACACGCAAACTCCAAATATACAGCAGGCGTCAAGGTCGGGATCGAACCCACGACCTCCTGTATACCAGGCGAGGTAGTTAACATCTCCTAGCCACCGTGATGATGATGATGAGAGAGAGACACCAACTCCAAACATACAGCAGGCGTCAGGGTCGGGATCGAACCTACGACCTCCTGTATACCAGGCGAGGTAGTTAACATCTCCTAGCCACCGTGATGATGATGAGAGAGAGAGACACCAACTCCAAATATACAGCAGGCGTCAGGGTCGGGATCGAACCTACGACCTCCTGTATACTTGGCGAGGTAGTTAACATCTCCTAGCCACCTTGGCACCCATTATAGCGCCACTGACGGTGAGCCCTAACTGGGGATTCCAACTGGGAGAGTTAGTGTTGGTGGCGCAATTCGCCAACCGCTGCCACCGCTTCAACACTGCATTATATGCTGGATGATATTTGTGTGTAGTGTATATACATAACTATGTTCAAACAAACGTACCTCAGAAAGAAATGTATATGATGAAGGTGGTGAGTTTGCGGTCTTTTTTTAGAAGCTTGTATTTTTATGTCCAACGTCATCAACAGCGATTTTGTCACGTTTAACTTTGCAGTGTTTGACATCACGGTAGTATATATATCTCTCATAGCAGATATATTGTGAACGTTTGTGTCTGTATCTTGGCAGATTTACACACGAACGATGCTTTGAGGAAATTGCTTGACTTTGTGGGCAACTTGCACACAATCTGCATTTGCAGTGGTCATACATTTGGTGAACTTTGCGGTACTTGGGACATAGACGACTATATCCGCTGTTGTTAAATATAAATACTGTATCAGTATTCTGTAATCCATGGTGCCATATAAACACTAAATGTAGGCCAGTCTTTACACCATAGCCATCACCCTGTTGGCGTTGATTAAACGAGTACCACTGGAATTCCACCTGGTTGTCCTTTGGATAGACTCGCCACTGTCGTAAGAATGTCGAATTGTCACTTCTGGCTCAGCACTGCCAAAAAGCGATTAACATTACCCAGTGTTTATTTAAGCAAATGAGTACTTCAACTTGACTTTTAGACTCCAGTTAAAAAGGGACTTTCCAGACCAAACATCCCAATGTAAGGACCCTCATGCAAAGTGGTCTTGAAACTCTAAAGCTCCCGGTCATGTATGATATGTTATCATCGTTTTATTCTTGGCCCTTAAGTAGTAATATGAGATTTTAGTTTTTACGCAGATCACTTGCTAATGAGACTAACATGCTTTCTCGAGTTCTCAACTGGTTCAACTAATTGACTCGATCTAGACCGGAAGATAGGAGTGTCTTTTGAAATGACAGCAAAGGGACATGTGACTCAATAAGTACTCCACAGTGTTTCCGTGAAGAGCGTGGACGTTTGCCCAATTTGTATATTTTATTAAGCATAGACAGATGTTTTTTTTTAGAATTTAGTCAAGTCATTCTATTGGCCTCTGATATCTCTCGCACCATAACAGACATCAAGGTTCTGATGCCACTTGCTACTGATGTAATGCATGCTCGGGAATTGAACCCAGTTGGATAGTTTGTAGGCTTTGCACATTGTGTTCACTTACACAGCATACAAACACATTCATTACTGCGGTTATACCATGTACAAAAGACAGAAGACTCCACAAGAAATCGTTAGATTCCTTAGCTGATTTCAGCTAGGGACTTCTCAGGTCAAATAATTCTTATATTTGGGATTGTGACAAAACAAGGGGTGATTGAAACGTATCGCCTGAAACAGAAAACAGACGAGACTCATTTG